AGATTGATTTTATGAAATGTTTTAATTAGTTTTTAAGACCCTTGAGCTATTTCTGTGCCTTTATTCTCACTCTCTGTGGTTAGGACACCATTTAGGAATTTGACAGTATTTTTCCCTAAACATTTTGTCCTTTTGCAGTTGTCAAATATTGAATTAGATCTTGTTATAAACAGACCAGAAGCTGGCATTGTTGACATTTCCCTTCATTAGGAAGAAACTGAAAGTTGACATTTTCAACCTATCAGCTCTAGTTTGGTCTGCCGATAAGAACACAGTACAGAGAATGAGGCAATCTGTTTCCTTTTTTGCTCTCATTAAAGGCTCACTATGAGATGTTAATTGATAAAACTATTTTACTTAATGAATGCCTAAGTTTCTCTTCAACAGAGAGGAAAAGTATTGATTAACTCTAGGATTTAAAGTCTGAATGAATGAAAGAAGGCATTGCTTTGAATCCTAAAAGATTGATCAAGCTTAAAATTTGAAATCTGAATGAGTGAATGAAGATGTCAATTGAAGTCCTGATGTGTCTCTTATTAGTTAGTTAATACTTTTTTCCTTCTCTCTTTATTTGCAAAATTGGAAAAATAACAATAGCTCCCTTTTCCCGTGCCAAGGATTATTACAAGGGGTCAATTAGGTAATGTAGTGAAGAGCTTTACATAGTGTTGAAATGCTAGCCAAATGTTAGGTTTTGTATTCCATATTCCATAGGCTTAATGAGAGAGGTTATTGGGTTAGATATTCTGGAATATGTGAATTATTATTATTCCACTTCTGGAATAATGTGAAGTTCAGACAAGATCTGTGGTTGAGGTTTCAGAAAGCTAAAGTCCTTTTTCACTCTCCTGGAACTCATCACTAGACTCAATTGATGGATATAATTTTCATCCTAATCCCCTCAAAAGTTTGAGGTGACAGCTTTAATTCTCAGTATAGAGAATTATCTGGTTGCAAGTTGAGGCTAAGGCAGCTAATACTATGGTGGTGTGTATACATCAACTTGAGTTTTTGAGGAAAGGGGGAAGAGCTTGGAAGCAGTACTCAGAAATCACAACAACATTCATGAGAATATTGACTTAGCTTGAGAAGAGAGTATGAAAAAAATTCTCCCACCCTACCAAACCGATGGTCCAGGTTTAAATGTGGCCCCATCAGAAATGGACAGAAAAAAGGGAAGATGAGTGATACCTCTAGAAATGAAAGTGGAGAAGACCTTTACTTTCAAGTTAATTTTCTTTCTTTACATCCTATAGTAAAGTCATGGTTTGACCAGTCTATTTTCCATGGTGAGTCAGTTTGGAATAAAACTGAATAAGAAATGTTACTAATTCTGATGAAATTCAGAGGTACCAGTATTTGGTCAAAACCCACGTGGAAAAAGTTTTGAGTAAAAGAGATTATCTTTACTTTCAAATTTGGAGTAAGCTCAGGTGAAGCTGAATCCCCACTGGAATTTACCCAAGTGGGATGTGAAAATGTTGAATGTCAATTAATGCAATCAGTAAGATCTGACAAAAGCTAGTTTATTCCAGGCATCAAGTAGCTTTGTTCTCAATCTGTTCTCTTTCTCGCATTAATAAAGAAAGCCTTTGTGCCCACCAAGGAGAAAGAACCCCTCTTCCTCCTGGCTGGTCAGCCTGAGCCTGGGTCCACAGACTTTGAGTGCCGGCTAGATAACAGCTGCATGCACACCTTTCAGCGGGCATTGCTATTCATGCTCTGGCGTATTTCTAGGCTAGATGACTAGCCTAGATGAGGAGTCACTGAATTCTGTGGACAGAGGGGTTTCTGAGAGAATAAACGGGCATTTGTAGCCTTAAAGTTATCCACCACCGCACTCAGTGCAGATACCCTTATTTTTTTCAACTTTGGAAATTAGCAGTATATATGGGTGGTAAAGGGCACCTGGGTGGCTCAATGTGTTAAACATCTGACTCGGCTCAGGTCATGATCTCACAGTTCATGAGTCATGAGTTCAAGCCCCGAGTCAGGCTCTCTGTGCTCAGCGCAGAACCTGCTTCTTCAATTCATTAATGATGACTATTCATACCCCACTAATTTCACAGGATTTGCAGATTAATGTTTATTTATTTTTGAGAGAGGCAGAGAGACAGAGAGAGAGAGAGAGAGAGAGTGGGAGAGAGAGTGTGTGAGTGAGGGAGAGGCAGAGAGAGAGGGAGACACAGAATCCAAAGCAGGCTGTCCGCACAGACAGCTCTGAGCTGTCAGTACAGAGCCTAATGTGGGGCTTGAACTCAGGAACTGCAAGATCACGATCTGAGCCAAAGACAGACACTCAACAGACTGAGCCACTGAAGCGCCCCAGGGTTTGCAAATTAAAAAAAGAACAGTATTGTAGGCAATGGTCAGTTGTTAAAAATTCAAATAATGGTGGAATAAATGTAAGAATGGAGGTTTGCCACTCAAGACATTTGATAGACTTGTTGTGGAAAGATAAAGTTTGCATATGTATGTATGAAGAGTCCTGGGGTTTGCAGTTCATTTACATATTCCTCTTCAGTTCTTTTCTTCTTGTTTTGCAGCCTCCTCTCCCTGTCTTCCATAGAAAAACACACAGCCCTTATAGAAGCCACTTGAAATACTGAAGTCCATGAGAGAGATATTTAGATAGACTACATTCACTCTGTGTATCTTAAAGCTTTACATCTAGAGAAGCAGGTTTTAGCCTAAAGCATGTCTGTCTGTTTATGAGCACATCCAGGTGACTGTGAAGATAATGGAATTGCTGATACACTGCTCATAGCTGCTTGGGTAACCGTTCTTTTATTATCAGGAAGGCAAATGCAATTTTTAAGATCAAAATGGACATCTCTTGGAAGCTACATTTATTACAAAAGGCTAAAGTGTCCACATTCCTAGGAATAAAAGGGATTCAAAAGACAGAAAAGCAGTAGTATTCAAGAGACAAAAGCAATTTTTGATGGACAGCAACCACCGCAGTAGGTGACAAGAACAAGAGGTAATTTAATTCTAAAAGTTACCACTCTGCAGGCTCTGGGGTTAAGCAAGGTGCCTGATGTGGAGACATCCATAGCCAGGGTCTGCCTGAAGACAATTTTGACTGCCACTGCAGGAACTGAGAGTACTTTCATAATTTTCACCATTGGAGATTTCTGTGGTAGCATTTTGAACCAATTTCTGCTGAGAGCAGGAGCCCCCCCTCAGCTACTGAAGTGGAAGTAAAGTAGGAAGCCATTAGGACTCAGTCACAATAGAGTATTTGGAAAAGCATCATGGATGAATTTTAACCCTGAGAACATGGCAGCCTCAGATGGTAGCAATCGGACTGTGGCTATTCTCCTGTCAGCTGACATCTAATGGCACTTCTACTGTATTTAGCGTTCTTTTGTATCCTTCCCCAACCCCCAATGTGCCTTTGAATCCCCCCAATAAACCCCTTTGCCAAGGCTTTCAGATGGTTAACCTCAGGGAAGTCTAAGGAACATCTCTCTAGCTGGGCCCACTTCTAATCCTTACTGGAAACTCCTTCACTTGTATCACTAAAGAACTCTTCTAGTAGTTTTGAATATCCTTGAAATCTTGACCAAAGCATTTGGAAGAGTGACAATGGGCATTCATAATTTCTTCTCAAAAACTCTCCAGCAATTTCAGAGTAGGAAAAGGCCATCAGAAATTCCGGATACTTAAGAAGTGGGCTTCATTTTACAAAAGAAATCATTTGCCTCTCCCTTTTTATACGACTAGTCTTCTGAAATCCCTTTAGCTTTTCCCAAGAGTTTCTAGAGACTAGAATCAGAAGGAGCATTTTCTTGATGTTTATCACATATTTATTATAGTTGAAAGGATTAGTGTTACAGAAGTGGTTTTTATATTTGGGAGCTTCTCTACCGCAAACTTTTACTGCTCATATATTAATGAAAAGACAGTATTGATTTTAATGCTTTTTGTTTTAATTTTTGAGAGAGAGCTCAGTGACATAGGGACAGAGAGAGGGGGAAAGAGGATTCGAAGCAGGCTCTGCGCTGACAGCAGCAAACCTGATGTGGGGCTCAAACTCATGAACTGTGAGATCATGACCCGAGCTGAAGTCAGATGCTCAACTGACTGAGTCACCTAGGTTCCCCTGCACCTTAAACAGAATCTAAGAAAGTAAGCAAAGCCTTGATCACAGGGTTTTTCTTGTCCTAAGAAAAATATGTAATAATTTTAAACATAAAAATTTGAAAGTGATCAAAAGGGTACAGTATGAGGAATAAATACTATGTGCCTTGGGTAATCTCTGGGCTAACTTTTGGGAAAAGTTCACTGTTCATTAATGGCTCTGAGAGTTTGTCAAACTAAGCTATATATATATATATATTTTTTCTTTTTCTTGACATGCACAATTCTCATATTCGTGCTGAAAAAAAAAAAGGATTTAACTTTGTAGAGACCGATAGGTTATTGGCTATATAGATATTGGTTATATAATATTGGTTATTATAGATAGTTCTCTTAAGACTATTTACTCCATATGTATCATATTGATTAATTCCCCAAGCTTAAGTTACGGGAGCACATACTCAGAAGCACTGCCTTCCCTCACAATTCCCAAACAGAGTCTTAAATACTGTTTCGTATATTATGCCATTTTCCAATAAAAGTAAAGTAAAGTAGTTAATTTAAATGATTCTTTAAGGAAAAAGAAAAAAATAGAGAGAGGTGAAAACAAGAAAAGAACATCTAAGAGAATATCTACAAGACAAATACGCATTTTCAGTGACCTCTGTGTTTTCCTGATTCTCACATCTGCACACTTTCTCCCACACTTAGCAAAGTTTGACAAGCGGGTGATCCTTGTAATCAGTGCAGCTTGTAATTTTCTACAACTTGCAGGACTCCAAGGTATGGATATTGTTGCCACCTGTTTTCACCCATTTTCTTAGAGATAATTGTCCTCTTGGGTCCCGAGTTGACACGCCTGAAATGAGTCACCTGCCCTCTCTCCCTTGGCCCCTCCCTCAGCTGCTACTCACTCAAAAGGGTCGCTGGGATCTGCCCTCTGGAGCTCTGGAGGGATGGGGATTCTCTTGTAGTACATTTCCCAGTCGAAGGCGCCTCGCATGGCATCCCCGGCTTGTGCCTCATATCCAAAGTGATTGTGGTCAATGACATCGATCATGGGGCACACGATGGTTTTGTGGTTTAGTGCAATTTGGTCTGAAAAATGAAAGCACAAAATAGGAAATGACATGCCTGCCTAGGTCATCTATCATTTTTCAGCAAAGAGAAGCATACAGATCCTTCCTAATGCAGGGAGGATGCTTGCAGCCTGGTTCCCTGTCATTGTTAGAGCACTCTGTGAAATCTGTTTGAAGGCTAGACTTAACATGATGGGGCAGTGATTAGGTACAATTAGTGTTGTATTTTCCTTTAAGAAAGTTATGTCCCAGAGAGACTTGCAGAAGTCCATTTAGCTCTACCTCTGTCATATTCTTACTCTGACCTGTCCCCAATCTGTCATTTTATAGTGCATCCAAACATGCGTGGAGTATAAACAGGACTTGTGTTCCTTCAAGCATACAGCTCGAGCCTGCTGAGAAAATATTGTCCTGCTTTCTGGAGGCTTCAAAATGTAAATATTTAACTTCATGGTTGGTTTTTTTTTTAGCATCTCATCTTATAATGGCCACCATGGCTGCTCCCCTCCCCCCTCGCCCCCCAAATGCTGACAAATCTTACACAGAATTCTTTGTTCTCAGGCTTACCAGAGATTTTGCCAAGTTCTACTTTGCTATTTTTCTTTGATATAGACTCTGTTTATCAAAGCTATACATGTTTATCTTTTCTCATTATATCCAAAAATATATTAGCTGGCCTGATACTACTGTTTCTGTATCTGCTACTATTAAATTCTTGAGCAACTACTAAGTGATTTATACTCTTGTTATTTTGAATCCTGGCAACAGTATAAGGTGGCTGCTATTATCATTCTCAATTGACATAAGCATACCGAGCTCAGAGAAATTAAATAACTTGTCAAAGGTCACTCATCTTCTGAGAGCGAAACCCAGGATGCAATCCCTGCTTCACAGTCCAGTCCTAAAACCTGTGGTATGTCCCGCTTCTCTGTGGTGCTTCTCATGTAGCAGAAAGGTAATATCTTTTTAGTTCCAGCATCTTCCTTTTCCATATAGATATTATTATTGTGAGACACTAACAGCACAAGGAATTGGTATTTACATATTTTGGCTCACCTAGAATTGCTACCTGTGGGATACAGTTGATTACTGAACAAAACACAGGTTTGAGTAGTGTGGCTCCACCTATATAGATATTTTTCGATACAGTACAGTGCTGTTAATGTAATTTCTTCTCCTTATGATTTTCTTAATGATATCTTATTCTCTAGCTTACTTTATTGTAAAAGTACAGTATACAATATATATAACATCCAAACTATGTGTCAGTTGACTGTTTATGTTATTGGTAAGTCTCCTGGTCAACACTTAGCTACTGGTAGTTAAGTTTTTGGGGAGTCAAAAGTTACACATGAATTTTTGACTGCACAGGGTGTTGATGCCCCTAACCTCTGTGTTGTTTAAGGGCCAACTGTGTTTTCTTCTCAAGAATGTGCACTCAATCAATATTTATTATAACAAACAAAATATCTGACAGAACTTATTAGTGTGAACATCTGCTTTCTGGTTATCTGATGTGGCATATGGAATAACATATATTTAAATATCTTAAAAAACATATCTTTTAGAAATAATGGTTATTTCAGTATTATTATTTTAATGACCCTCATAGGCAGGGTGAGGAAACCACAGAATCTGGTGGAAGATCTCCCCTCCAGCTCTACATCCTCCCTTCCTTCCTTCCTTCCTCCCTTCCTTCCTTCCTTTCTTCTCTCCTTCCTATTCAACAACTATTTATTGAGTAGAAATTATCTGCATGTCACTTTTCTAGGTTCTGGGTATATAGCAGTGAATAACAACCACAAAAATCTCTGTCATTAGAAATGGAGTGAACACAATCAATGTACATACTAAATATCTAAATTAGATAGTATCTTGAAGGTGATAAATATGATAGAAAGAAGAGGAGACAGGCTAAGGGGAATACACAATGCTGATATGTGGCTACGTAACTAGCATGGCCCCAGGAAGCCTCTGAGAGCCTCAAGGTCACCTTCATATTATTTCTGCTAGAAATAATAATAATAAGCCTAATCCTCTGGTAGAGGATCCCAGAGTTATTTCAAGTTCCTCTTCATGAAGGGCCCTATGAGCATCCATTTTCACCTAGCTAAGTCTCGTAATGGGTTTTAATCTTTATCTAAATGGTGTTTCCCCATAGATATCTTTGACAGAGGAGACCATCATTGCTGTGGCCAAACTATATCTTCTATCACCTCTGCAGCTATTTTAGTATTAACGTTTCAGTGATTTTCTTCAGTCAAATTCAGAATCAGGTTGATTTACAAGTTCTTTGACCAACAAGGAGTCCCAAGGTGACCCAAAGAGAATGAGTCTGTTAAATTAACTGTCAACTCTCCCTTCAAATTTCCTTTCAGCTCTCATCCAGCTGGTCTAGCTTAGGGTGAAAGCAGCATGACTAATTTTTCATCTAAGGCTTGTGCCTACATTTCAATTTCCAGGGATCAAACAAACAGACTCTTAATGGGAAATTGAAATTCAGGTATAATCCCAAGGTGAAAAATGAACCAAGAAACTGTGTGGCTCCGCCTGTTTTTTCATTTCAGATGATGTGTCAAGACACTGATAGAGGAAAATAAAAAAAGATAGGGATCCTGAGCTTGAATCATTTCTTATCCATCAGGCCTACAGGAAATGAAATGCTTTAATGAGAAAAAGTGGGTTTCTCTCTACTTTCTCCCTCCTTTTTCCCCCTGTTAGATTCATATGAACAATCAGAGGCTTGATAATTGACATTTAGGAACTGCTTTGGTTCGTAAATAAATTAGGCCTTTTGCTGACTTCCTTGAGTATTAAACACCATATAGGTCGTATTCAGTTTGCAGGAATCTCACTGTTGCTGATGAAACTCTAAATTGCTATGTCCTTGGACAAGGTACTTTTAATTAAAAGCTCAGAGGAGTCTCTGGCCATAGGAGCACTGAAACATTCCTGTTGATTACGATGGCTGGGCAGTCATCTGTCTAAAGGTGTGTGGATCGGGTGATGTGGTGACGTGTTAGTTGCTGGTCATTTCCTATTTTAAATCCTATATAGTTTCAGTTGCTTCCCCTCCTGACCCCACACACACACATCTTTTTCTAATGGAACTTGGCTGCTTCTAGCTGAAATCCTACATAGTAGTCAATAGCAAATCATTCTTTCTGAGGCAGCTATTGTAAAGGCAGTTTTTACTGGCTTTAGCTCCAAGGCCATGATATATTTACAATGAAAGTTGATTTAGTGAAATCTGGAAGAATAGGAAGGGTACAGTATGTGGACACCAAGAACTTTTTAGCAACACATTTTTTTTTCAGGTTTGCAATTTACCTTTTATCCACTACCAGACTTTGTATCTGACTTCATTGTGAAATAAAAAGAAAAACAAAATAGTCAGGCGTGAATTGAGCCCCACATGTATTTTCTAGCCTGAATGACTTTTAGCTGGTTCCTGTTTCTAATAGTTCAAGTGCAATGTGACAGAGAGGCTTCTCTCCCTACTCTTCGCCGAGTGGTGAGCATTTGAGATATGTCAGCTGGATAGTAGCGCCGAGTGCTTGAGGAGGTCCTGTGTAAACTTGGGGGCTTATGTTTTCAGTGTGCCAGGCTGGTGCCAGAAGTTTAAAGGAGAAATGGCATTATAAATGCCATGTGTAAGGGCACTTACACGAACTACATTCTTGGGTTTACTAATTTTCTTTCCTCAGTTCTTAACAGTTCTATAATAATTGTTAAACTGTGTGTGTATGTCTGTGTGTGTGTATTTTAATCTTACTGTAGCTAGAGGTAGTGTTTTTGAATACTTTTTACTTTCGGTGTTTACTTACTGACTATATAACTACACTAAAGGAGAACATATAAATGAAACGAACCCCTAAACTTTTTTGAATCTTAAGTTAGATTGCAGTTGGTATTATTTAAAATGTCCATTTTCATGCAGTTTTCTAGTTACTTATTGGTCCTCAGCAGTGGTTAAAGTAGAATTCAAGGCTCTCATGTAAAAATTGTAGAAGGGAACTCTAGACTTTGTTAATTGCAAACTTAATAGAAGCAAATCACACGCTCCCTCTGAAGGAGGTCAATTCCCCAGGCCTTGCGGGTCTCCAGAAGGCCACTGTCAGTATGAGTACTCACTAAGAAGTGGGGGTAGCCAGTTCACATTGACCTCGCAGTGGGAGTCCAGGAATGTTAAGACTTCTCCTCTTGCCATAGATGCCCCCAAGAGTCGGGTCCGGATGAGCCCTTCCCTTTTCTTGGTGCGAACGATCCTTACTTTGGAAAATCGGGCCATATATTCTTCTAATTTATCCTTCAAGTGTTCTAGGAAGGAAAACAGAGAATGCAAAGAAAGAACACAAAACATTAATTGCAAAAGAATTACTCATGGGTGTTTATGCATTAAGTGTATGTGGATGGAGAATCTAAGCTTACATCCATTTTTCTCCTCTCTTCATCTCAAGGGGAGATATTAGTAAGATTTTATGCCTAGAAGTTTTTCTACTTTATATTTTCCATAGAGGTCCATAAACTACAAATACTGTGCTTTGTTTGGACACTGTAGAAGATACTGACACACCAGAGCCGTGCCAGCTGCTGCCATGCTTAATCCTTGCCAGCATTTGCCAAGATGGGCATTGGCCCTCTGATTCTTGTGGTGGAGAGTCAGATGAGCATTCCAGCATATGGGCTCTTTTCAACAAGGTGGTTCTTTCCAGCAAAGTCATGTCTAGTTTCAGTGTTTTGAAAATAATGAGTGTAAAACCACAAGAAAAAAATTAAATCCTTCAAATCAGTAAGAACCAAACAGATTTTTCCTCCCACAGGGTAATATCAAATGAGTAAGGAAGTTCAGCATCTGGCTTCTGATTTGAAGTGTAAAAGTAACTGACTTGCCGTTAAAATTAGATGTGAAGAGGGGAAAGCAGATAGATACTCCATAATCATTTTGAAATGAGCTATTCAAGGTTAGAAAACAGAAATTTAAAAATGCCTCTTTGCCTAATTAAAAACAAACCGTGGGAACAAAATCGAATCAGGTAGCTTATTTACAGAGAAAAAACCCATCTCCTACGGGCTGTGATAAAATGCATCAATATCTTTGATCTTTAATGTCAAAGAAGTGTGTTTAGTGTTTTTCTGTGGAATATGTACTCCTATAATTTACATCTTGTGATTTTCACTCTCTCCTATCTAAAACATTAGGAGGGTTTCACTGGAGTTTCTAACAGGTACCATCTAATGTCACAGACACAGAATCTTAGTATACAGTATGTTCTATAGCTCCACTTTCAAACTTTCTCCACGTGTGTGCAATCAAAGGCAATATTATTACTAAGTCTCCTCCTATGATCTGTAGCAATAGGGATTCATATAAGGATTTATGATTCCCTTTCCTGTGATTCAATTTAACAAATGTCAGAATTACTCATATTGGAGTTTCTCCATACCTGAGAGTTTATTCTTATTATTTCTTCTTATTAAGTAGTGTTTTTTTTAAAAAAACCCTCAATTTCCTTTTTTTCGACTGCCCCATAACTATGTTTTACAAATGGATCAAGTAAAAAAAATACTTAGCTTTCTAGTTTTTCCTATACAAGAATATACCAGTGGGGTCTTTCACGAGTGTTTTAGCACAAAATGGGTTCCCCTCTATTTTGTTCTTCCTGTAATGAATAGTGGTATGGAAACCAGACTACAAAGAGCAAAGATTACAGATCTGGAGTCAGAATAGACCTAGGTAGGATGTCTGTGCCGGTGAAACATATGAACAGGGCATAGCCTGAATTTCCTCACTCACAAAATACAAGGAATGGGGAGGATTTTTTCCTCTTAAAGTGCGGTGAAGGGTCAGGCATTTGGTTAGAAACTGGACAGTGTTCATTCACTAAACGTTCCCTAAGTCAGTAATGGGAGACCTCATAAGTCACATGTAGTTAAGAAGAGAAAAAACATTTTTAGCTGGAGAAATGCCTTTGAATGTTAAGCCTAAACGATGAAAAATATAGAATTTTTATTTATTGGTGAGATTTTGATAATTCATCATCTTCTATTTATTGAAAATTCAAAGAATGAAAGCAATAAGTGAACACATATTATTTTATGTGTATTTATTGCTTATTTGACCAGCAATAAGTTAACACATATAACTTTATAGTTTCTCACCCAAAAGTCTGGCTCTAAAGTGTCTCTGTCTCTTTAACACAGGTGTGCTGCTCGAAAGCCCTGGCTTCTGCCCTTCCTTTCTTTACTGACTCCTCTCCTGTTCTCCTATGTGCAAGCTACAAAGAAAGATTACAAAGGACTGTACAATACGGCGCCACCTGTGGATAAGACTGGAGCTACTATTACTATTTTCCTGATAGGGAAATAAAGCAGAGACCAGCAACCCAGTCATGCAATCAAAGGCAATAAGTAAGTGGCAAGTGATTAACATTAGAGCTCTGTATATGTCAGTCTTTTTTTTTTTTTTTAACATTTATTCGTTTTTGAGAGACAGAGAGAGAGACAGAGCATGAGCAGGGGAGGAGCAAAGAGAGAGAGAGAGAGAGAGAGTCTGAAGCAGGCTCAAAGCCACTGACACTAGATCATGACCTGAGCCAAAGTCAGATGCTTAACCGACTGAGCCACCCAGGCACCCCTGTATATGCCAGTCTTAAAAGAACTGCATTCAGTCAGGGTTTCCCACCGTAATAAATATTTAAGAAGACACCATATTCAGGGTGTCTGGGTGGCTTAGTCAGTTAGTGTCTGACTCTTTATCCTGGCTCAGGTCATGATCTCATTGTTCATAAGACTGAGTCCCGTGTCAGGCTCTACACTGGGATTCTCTCCCTCTGCCCCTCTATATCTGGCACTCTCTCTCTCAAAATAAATAAACGTTAAAAAAAGGTAGTCTCATTACTGTAGTAATTACAGTAGTCTCATTACTGTAATTTATTCAAGCACTGAAATCCTTCTGTATCTCCAATGTACAAACAAGTGTCATTCTATACAAGTTTATTGGTAAATTGGTTGTTTGGACCACAGAAACATACTGTCACATGGAAACAGTGTCACAACAGCCACTGGTGACGGAAAATAGGTCGTGAACATTTGTGAAACCCACCAAAACAGTGTTTGTTTGTTTTCTTTCATTAAGCCTCACTATTCTTTTGTCGAGTACTGTTGCCAGTCTCCTCTGCCTCCTGGCAGTCTGGGGTGCAGTTATGCCTTCCTCCTTGATGCAGGGGTGCAGTTATGTCTTCCTCCCTGACCAGGACTAACAGGAACTCTTGGGAGAGAGGAGGCCTAATTCTCTGTAGCTGCATTTTCGGAAATGGCTCTAGTAGATAGTCACTTCCCAGGGGGTCTAACTCCAGAATCACAGGGTTGCCGATTACCTGGGAGTGGTTGTCCCAATTTCGGTTTCCGATTTCCAAACTTTTCAGTTTGTACCAAATTCTCTGGAACTCCGGGGGAGACTATTATCATGCTTCCTTTCCCTTTAGGCACATTATCTGATGTTTTTAATCAAAGCCCATTTTAACATAACTAAAAGAATTGTATGGCATAAACTCACTGAGCACAAAAGGTTTGACCCCAAATAGAGTCCCCTAATTGTTCAAATCAATTCTTTTAGTTTGAACTTTGCAGTAATCATCGGGTTGATTTGCCTTGGAATAATGATCTGGTTGACTGCCCTTGTGAAGGGTCCATTCTCTTTCAGTAGTTCAGTCCTTTTTTTTTTTCTTTTTTTTTTTTTAATTTATTTCTAGGAGAGAGAGAGAGAGACAGCGTGAGCAGGGGAGGGTCAGAGAGAGAGGGAGTCACAGACTGAAACAGGTTCCAGGCTCCGAGTTGGCAGTCAGCACAGAGCCCGACGCGGGGCTCGAACCCACGAACCGCGAGATCATGACCTAAGCGAAAGTCGGACGCTTAACCGACTAAGCCACCCAGGCGCCCCGCAGTAGTTCAGTTCTAACCTCTAATTACCCGTAACTCACAATGAAGACAGATATCATCAGTCTAATGAGTAAATTAGACTCTCATGCCAGAGAGTTACTGGGGATGGTGGACATGGCTTCAAATTCAAAACATTTTGTATTTCTTTTGTATGAACAATTTTTAGATTTATTTCTAAAATATTATTAAAATGACTTTAAAATGATTTTATATGATTTTAATTCAAGCACAGTATCTTTGAAGATCCCTTTTGAACCTCTTTAATTTTAAGTAACGACAAGAGCATTTATGGTATTTTTATGAAACAGGCATATTTCTTTAGCAATAATGAGACATTTGTAGAACCTTTAAATTTTTTTTGTCCTGGCTAGAGTAACTGGATGGTATCCCAACAACCTGGACAAGGGAACACAATTCCAAATACAGTTTTGCCAGGCTGTATTGTATTATTGTGGGGCAATAAAAAATGAAAAGTTGTACTCGGGTGAAATTTCGGTGTCTTGCTACTGTGAATATTGAAGTTAGCAGTTTTCTCAATGTATTTTCCTCTTTATTTAGTGATTTGACTTATCCTTCATAAACTTATATGGAGAATATATCATTCACTTGGATATTTAGTGTTAGAGGTAGCAACTAAACACTAAAAAATCACCTTCAATTATAAGCACAGTCAAAAACTGAGTGCGTGGGTTTTAGACATGTTGCCAACTGGCCACATGCCTTTGGGTGAATCACTGTACCCCATTTAACCTCATTTTCCTCAGTTATAAGGTGAAGGATCTTACACATTCCTTCTAGGTTTATGATTCTTTGATTTCCCCTGTGAAGTTTTACTTGTAGGCTAGATCTAACCCTATCGAGTACCTAGGTTTTCTTTTTTTTTTCCTCAAAAGCTTCCTAATGGTTGGTATTTTGGTGTTCCTTTGGGCTGCATGTCATTTTTAAAAGCAAGAGTCAAATCAAAATAAAGCTAACACATATCAAAGATTTTATCAAAAAGCGAACTCTGTGGTATTTTCTTTGGTCAATACAACATCTGTCTAATCTCCTGCAGTTTGCTGTCTGTAAGACTGTTACTGGTGTCAAAATAATGACTTTGAAGCACTATAAGTTCATCAAAGATTTAAGTCTGTTCAATAAGTTATGCTTATTATGTCAGAAAAATATAGTAACAGGGTTTAGACAGCTTTCTAGTCTACCTCTGAGGAATTGTTTCCAAGGGGACAGATAGTCCAGTGTGTGGTCAGTGTGTCTCAAGTGGAAGACCCACCAAAGGCCAAGCAAACAGTTGTCCTGTCCCAGCAGCTCACGGAGGCTCAGCAACTTGTCCAGCCTCTTCCATATCCTTTTAGTTCCCTAATTTACACCCTAAGGAGAGGGCAAGAGAGGCAAGAAGATACTATTTATCTGGAGGTAAGGATTTCTATATTTAATTACATACCTACGGAGATGAAATGCCTTTGATGTGTATACTTTGTTGTTGTTGGAATATCAGATCATATAGAATATGGGGATATGTCCTAATTGTTATGAGTTCTGAAATGTAATGGAATATAAATACACAATAACATAAATATCTTCCTTTTCTGGTTAATCCTCATAACAAAAATATACTAAGTCCAACTCTCAGTATTCTAGATAATTTGAGGTTATATCAGAGTGACAAGAAGTACTTCACAATTAGGGAATATAAGATATTCTTCCATTTTTTTAAATCCACTTGGCATATGTCATGAGCATATTTTAACCCAAAGTAGCAATGTTCAGAGTAACACAGCAGGACCCCTAGAGAATCTTTCTACTGTCTTTTTACATCAGAGAAACACAGGCATTTCTCAGAGATTTTGGTGGTTGGGTTCCAAATCACCACAGAAAAAGCAAAATCACAATAAAGCAAGTCAAATAAATTTTTTTTTGGTTTCTCAGTGCATATAAAAATTTTATTTATACTATCCTGTAGTCTATTCAGCATGCAATAGAATTGTTTAAAAATTATGTATATACCTTAATTGAAGAATGCTTTATTGCTAAAAAGTGCTAACTCTTAGTGAGTCATTATTTTTTTGCTGATGGAGGGTCTTGCCTTGGTGCTGCTGGCTGCTGGCCGAGCAGAGTAGTGGCTGCTGAAGTCTGGGGTGTCCGTGGCAGTTTCTTTATATAAGTCAACAATGAAGTTTGCTGCGTCAATTGATTCTTCCTTTCACAACCCATTTCACTGTACTATGTGATACTGTTGGATAGTATTTTACCCTCGGGAGAACTTCATTCAAAATTGGCATCTATCTTCTCAAACCCTACTGCTGCTATATCAATTAAGTTTATGGAATATTCTAAATGTTTGTTGTCATTTCAACACTCTTCCCAGAACCTTCACCAGTACTAGATTCCATCTCAAGAAACCACTTTCATTGCCCCTCCATAGAGAAACTCCTATCTGTTCAAGTTTGATCACAAGCTTGAAGCAATTCAGTCCCATCTTCAGGCTCCACTTCCAATTCTAGTTCTGTTGCTATTTTCATCACATCTGCAGTTACTTCCTCCATTCAAGTCGTGAACCCCCCAAAGTCATCCATGAGGGTTGGAAACAACTTCTTCCAAACTCCTGTTCATGTTGATAGTATGAATACTTCCCATGAATCACAAATGTTCTTCAAGGCATCTAGAATAGTGAATTTTTTTCAGAAAACTTTCAGTTTACTTTGCCCTAATCCATCAGAAGAATTACTGTCTATGGCAGCTATAGCCTTACAAAATGTCTTTCTTAAATAATAAGGTTGAAAATCAAAATTGCTCCTTGAACTATGGGCTGCAGAACAGATGTTGTATTAGCAGGCATGAAAATGACATCAATCTCACTGTCCATCTCCATCGGAGCTCTTGGGTAACCAGGCACACTGTCAATGAGCAGCCATATTTTGATAGAAAATTTTCTTTCTGAGCAGTAGTTCTCAACAATGGGCTTAAAATATTTAGTTAACCATGTTGAAGGAGATGAGCTATCATCCAGGCATTGTTGTTCAATTTATAGAGCACTGGCAGAGTAGATTTCGTGTAATTCTTAAAGGCCTTAGGATTTTCAGAATGGTCAGTGACCATTGGTTTCAACTTGAAGTCACCAGCTGCATTAGCCCCCAACAACAGAGTCAGCCTGCCTTTTGAAGCTTTAAAGCCACGCATTGACTTCTCTCTAGTTATGAAAGACTTACATGGCATCTTCTTCCAATAGAAGGCTATTTCATCTTCACTAAAAATCTGCTGTGTAGTGTAGCCACCTTCATTAACGATCTGGGCTAGATCTTCTGGAAAACTTGCTGCAACTTCTACCTCAGCATTTGCTGCTTCACCTTGTACTCTTCTGTTAATGATGATGGCATCTTTTCCTTAAACCTCATGAACCAACTTCTGCTAGCTTCCAACTTTACTTCTCTCCCAGCCTTCCTAGTACTGAAGGGAGTTAGGGCCCTGATCTGGATCAGAGTTTGTCTTAAGGGAATGTGGTGGCAGATTTGTCTTCTGTCCAGACCTCTAAAGTTTTCTGCAAGTCAGCAATAAGGCTGTTTCTCTTTCTTATCATTCATGTGTTCACTGTGGTATCACTTTTAATTTTCTTCAGGAACTTTTTCTTTGCATCCACAAACTGTGTGATGTAAGAGGCCTAGCTTTCAGCCCATCTCAGCTTTTACATGCCTTCCTCACTACACTCAATCATTTCTAGCTTTTGATTTGAAGTGAGAAACATGTGACTTTTTCACCTGAACACTTAGAGGCCATTGTAGGGTTATTAACTGGCCTAATTTCAATATTGTTGTGTCTCAAGGAACGGGAGGCCCACGGACAGGAAGACAGATGGGGGAACGGCTCATCAGTGCTGCAGTCAGAAGACACATTTATCTATTAAATTCACCTTAGGTGGGTGGGGTTTGTGACATCCCAGAACAATTACAATAATAGCATCAAAGATCTCTGATCACAGGGCATTATAATGAATATAATAATAATGAAAAAGTTAGAAATATTATGAGAATTATCAAAATGTGGCATGGAGACACAACATGAACAAATTGTGTTGGAAAAAATGGCATTGATAGACTAGCTTGGTGTGGGACTATCACAAACCTTCAATGTGTAAAAACTTAAAGCACAATAAAGTGAAGCACAGTAAAAGGAGGTGTGCCTGTCTACAGATTTTAAGCCTCTCATTGAACTCCAGTAAATGTCAATCTCTTTATTTTCTGGTTGACCACACTAAACCTGTCCCTTTTGATAGCATTCAAATATAGACATTTTGCATTATCTCTAGAACACAAAAAATTCAACCAAGGAAGCAATTTATGAAACCATATTCAATTACCTCTATTATGATTTC